GCAGTGCTTCCTGTTCTATTAAAAATGACCAACCTGCAGGCCTTCTTTGTAAATAAAGAATAACCAGCTCTTTCTACGGTGAGAAGTTTAGAAGATGACAAAAAGACATCAAAAACATGATGAGGGCACTTACAGGCCTCCTGCTGCCATCTTCAGGACAAAACTAAAGCATTTCAGAACATTTTGGAATAAAATTTGCTGTATTTATATTTTTTCTGTTTTTATTGCCTGGAGTTGTTTGGATATTCTTCTCTTAACAGTCTATAGTAGTAGTCAGTGAAAGACTAGAACCAAACTTTAGATTACAAGACACAAAAGTGACTTCATATCTGTTAGGTTTATATTGTGGATTTTCATTAATGCTTAGAAATATATAACCATATATTTTTAGAGGTGTATAATCGATTGCATATTGATAGGATGTCTGATCCTTAACAGTCTGCAAAGACTGTGCCTCCCTCTGATATACGTGCACATCCTGGGGTCATGAGAGAGTTCGTAGCTTGTTTTATGGTAAACACATCCATGTCGCTACGAGGGAGCAGACGAGAGCGACTGGGGTGAGCGATGGGAACACGCTTGTCAGCTCTCTCCCTCGTGCACGAGTAACACAAAGAACTTTGGGGGCTTGCGTCTTGCTTTAGTAGAATTGTTCCAGCGAGGGGTTTGTGCTCGACAGACGCATCAGTATTTGTCACAAAGCTAAAGAGGCCTGACTGTCCGTGAGAGCTTCATTTGTAGTTGACTTTGAGTGCCAGTATGTATGCTGAAGTCTTACAGACGTATCCACACATTGATCATACCTCCACAGCAAAGGAAAAAACTAACCTGATGCTCAGCATTACAAAAAGTCCTCAGTATAACAGGCAGCAGTCTCTGGGAGGCCGAGCACTTCAGAAGGTTGACAGACCAAGACTCTAATCCAGCTGGCTGTGTGGTCAGGCGGAGCCGTCCAGAACCATCCACACCGGCTGTAGGTGGTGTGATCCCTCGCTGCTCCACTCTGCAAGCCAAAGTATTTCTGGGAAAGACTCGGATGTGTTCACTGCAGTGTGAAGGTCACATGGAAAGCACTTTTCATACAACACAAGTGCTTGTGTGACCAAGTGGTCGGCGAGGCTATTTATTATAAAAACAAATTTAAAACAAGTGTAATACAATGACACCACGTAGGGGAATTTCACCCCCAGGAAATAAAATCGTTTGGGAATAAAACACCCAACAACGTTTGCACAGGTTCAGGGATGCACACTGAGGCTCAAACATTAAGTTTTATTTATTAATATAAAATAAGAAAACAATAACAGCACTGAATGTAGTGTCATCTAAAACTGTGTCCCACATTACAATAAAAATAAAACAGACAACTGGACTTACCAGCAGCGGTGGACCACACACACACACACGTGTGGAAAACGACCCGCCACCTGAGGCCCCACGGCCGCTGGAACACCGTCAGGTCGCTGAAATAAGGTCTCTATACAATTCAAATAAAGAATTAAAAGAACTGAAATTTTTAATAAAACAAACAGAACAGATTGGAAACACTTGCACTCTGCGAGCCAGCCCACAGCTGGTGCTGCTTCCGATCGTCCGCAGCCCCACTCAGTCTCGTGCAGCAACCGGGGTGGTGGGGGGAGAGACCAGTTTTGCAATACCAGCCCAATATGCAGCTGAGGATCGCCCCAGCCAGCCGCGGAAGCTGGAGTGCAAACGATGGTTTGCAAGACAAGACAAGAGCGGCAGCAATCGAGCCCTATAAAGAAGTAGGGTTCTAGCAGCTATGATATAGGCGCTTACCCCAAAGCGGAGGCGCTATGCTGCACGGTGGACGTAGTTCAAACGCTTCTGCCGGCTGGAGTAAAGAAAAGCGGCCGCGCTACAACGAGCCGCAGAAATATTACTAGTTTCACTACTTCAGAGAGAAATCCGAGGAAGCCGACCTGCAGCTGTCACACGAGCCGTCTCGGTAAACTCACCTAAAGGCCAGCATTTACTGCTGTGTTGCGCCAGAAGCTCGGGAGGAATGAACTAACAAAAAGCCGGCTTCCCTTTATACTGACTGACACCAGCCTGTGATCAATGTGCAGGTGGGCTCCTAATCACCCAATCACGTGATACAAGGAGAAGGTGAAGCGAGCAAACAACCAAGAGAGAGAGACGCGCAGCCCATCCGGCCACACTCGTATGAGTGAGTGATGTTGCATGAAGTGATTAAAGTTCTGGTCCAACAGATCAGTGCTGTATTAGAACCAGCGTGTTCCCACTGAGGGATTTTGGATGTCCTGGCAACAGATATCACTGAACACGTCCACGACCCTTTCTGTGGTATTTTACTGCCATGTGGCAAAATGTTACATGTTAAAGCCTGTTACCTTTTCAAACAAATAACATTCATGCTGCCATTCGTGTCATAAGCTACTGAAATGCACCCATGAAATCATGTCAGGTTATTTTGAGAAAAACACCTAACAACTCACCTGGAAGAACCAGGTGAGTAACAACTCACCTGGTTCTTCCTGCTCTCAAACAGACTCTCTGTTGTCTCTCTCCATCCTCCTTACTCCTCCTTTGCACTGACAATCACACACTAATTGTTTGAACTAGAGAATCACATCAAATTATTTGCTATTATAATTGCAGATAATTGCTGCTGTGACGAAATCTAGGGGTGTCCGGGCACCCCTCCAAAAAGGTCTAAACTGGCCTATTGGGCCACGACCAGTTTGTGGCTGAGCAGAAAGAGAAGAGAGGAAAGGAGAGCATGAGAACGAAACACAAGAACAAACAGCGGCACATACTTCCCGTCCTCGTTCCTGCTTCTTTAAACTGTTTTATTAAACTGTGTCAGCTGCCAGAGGTTTTTACAGTGTTCCTGTGAGGGCTGCTGCACCATCCTGTAAATATTCTCTAAATACACCCTGACATGACCAATATGAGAGAACAGACTGTTCACCTGCACAGGTGAACAACAGCAACAAACAACCGCCGCTCAGTCCGTGTGCAGTGCGATGTACTGTCGGGTACATAAGACTGTTGCATGCAGCTGCACACTCGGCCCAGCAGGGGGCAGACGTCCTTCATCATTCATACGCACTTTTTCCACATCCTGTCGGAAAAACTTGGGACTGTGTACTTGTAGCTTGATGTAGTTACTTT